TTTAGAAGAGAAAGTTTTGGCAACTTTCCTATAAATTCTGGAATCTGACATTTCTGATTTTGGCACTATATTGAGATAGGTCCTGTTAATACTCAGATTTCCTCAGTTATATATGTAAAAAGTTACATGGTAATAAAATCACTATCAGTTTTATTATCTAATGTAGGGGGTATCACATAGGGGTGACACTTGAACTTGACTTGGAAAGGTTAATAAGACAAGTCATGGTTATTTAAAATAGTTAAATGCATGAACTGAACAATTGAATGCACTCAGTTCAAGTGTAGTGCTCACTTTTTACTGGCTGAGGACCAAGATGGTCTTTTTAACCTAAGATGCAAAAAAATGGAAGTCATTATTTAATCATACATATCATTGTACATTTTATAAAATATTAAATTGCCCAAATTGGGCCTCCATGGTGGTACAAGAGGTTAAGTCTCAACACTATGAAGCAATCTGCAGCAACTGCAGCACCCATTTGATCCCCAGCCAGGGAGCTGACCTACGTAGCACAGCAGACCTCTCCTCTCTCACCCGCTGCTCCCCTCAGCAGTGTATTTCAGTAGATCTGTTATGCTCCCCACTCTTTCTCTGGTGAATCCTCTCACCCCCTGCACTTCTGGCCTACACCCTAGCTCTTGTATGCATAAATAAGTAAATCTTAAAAAAATTGCACAAATTGTATAACATATTGTTGACTATAGATTTATAATGATGCAGGTGTCTATCTCAAGATTTATGAATATTAAAAGATATAACTCAAACCAATGTGCCAATCATTGGATCCTTCTATTAGGAATTGTCTAAAAGGTGGCAGTCACTGCTACCACTAGACCATAAAACAGGAAAAGGAAAACGGGCTTCTAGACAGAAGGAAAAGCACATGGACATGTGTTTACTATAAAATGCTGATTATGCCACAGAGTACCTGAAAATGAGAAAACCTCTTTGAGATGCTCTGATAAAAGGAAATGGAATCCAATTAATGGAAATTGGAATGTCATCACTGAGAGAACTTTGGCATCTTAATCTGGGTTTGTGCAGCCTGTTCCTTGGTTTCATTTGCATCTCTCCATCTCTGGAATGAGACCCCTGACAGCACATTCTATAGCTTTCAGAGCAGGTCAGAGCTGGCCTGGGGAAATGGAATGGCCCCGCTAACAAGTAATGATGGTCCCCACACAGCCTTTTACATGGGAATTAATCTTTTATTAAGAGAGAAAATTATGCCCCAATGCTTTAGGGGCTTTTTGCTCACTGTTATACATGTCACGGGAAGCCTGAGCTCCTCTCTAGGGCCTCAGTCAAAGGCAATCTTCTTCTAACATCTTTGGAAGCTGAGACTCTTGAGGGGTTAGTATCATTTTTCTTTTTTGATTGTATGTGAACAAGGAAATTGGGCACAAAAATACTATTAGCTGCTTACTAAATGTCTTCTTTCCATGTTGCTGGGAGGAACTCAGACTTCTAGAAGAGGGAGATTTTGATAAATTACCATATGTACCCCTTGCCCTAGAAAATTGCCAAACTGAGTAAAGACCCCAGTTTGCAGGTGGTGCAAGTGTAAGGAAATTGAGAGTTGAGGCATGCTTGTGTGCCTTCATAATTGGAGCTGTCTGATATTCAGGGGAGAGAGGGCATCTTGGTCTTGAGATGAGAGGTATTGATCAATGTGCCCAGCATGCATGAGTGGAGGGACTATTGTGTGCAAAGCTCTATATAGGGATGATGTGGAAACTTGCATAAACGACTGGAAGTGTAAAGGCTCCCTCATGAGAACTTCAAATAGAGAACAGGATGTTTCTTGGACTGAGGCAAAGTACAGAGAGTCAAGGACAGGGGTATGAGGTCATCTTCACAGTGCTGTGATGGGGCAGGATGGACACATGCAGTACTGAAAACATGGGTGGAGCATTGTATGAAAAAAGGCATGAGGGGCCTGGTCCATGATAAGAGTAGTCTGGACAAGGGTGAGGAGGCAAGAGATAAGCCCAGAAGGTCCTGGGCTGCTGAGTTCTCTCTTACGGGGTTGGAGAGCTCATAAATGGGAAAAAAGCTTCTAGCACTCCTAGGAATCTTCCCTGTAAAAACTGGGTAGAATTAAAAGTTAGCTACAGGACGTTTTTTGGAAATTAAACACTGCACGCATGTGAAGACAGGACTAGATAGTTGCTGAAACTGTAAGTCAGGAGAGCAGTAGAGGCTCAATGCCTGACATTAACATTTCTTAGTTGGCCAACTGTGCATAGTTCTTAAATTCATACAAAATAAAAAGATAACAATATTATCTTTGCAGGTGGTGAACATTAAGTGAGATAATCCTTGTAAGTATGCTCTACATTATCTTGCACATGGTAAAATGCAGTAATTTTGACTATTAAAATTGCCTGAGTAGCTCCTTTTCCATCCCCAAGATAAAGTAACAACCATAAAATTGTAGCTGATATAGTAACTTTAAAAAGAATTCTCCGGGCCTCCCTGGTGTGCGGCAGGTTGAGCGCAGCCCTGTGAAGATGTCTGTGTCCTCTGTAGTGCCGGTTCAATTCCCAGCTGGCCAGGGAGATTTCCACATGGCGCGGCAGACCTCTCCTGTCTCGCCTGCTGCTCCCCTCAGCAGTGTATTTCAGTCCTTCTGCCTGTTCTGTCTCTAGTAAATTCTCTCACTCTCCCGCGCCTCTGGCTTGTACACCAGTGCTTGTATAAATAAATAAATCTTTCGAAAAAAAAACATGTGCCGTTGCTTCTGCCAGGTGGATCTACTCAGAGAAGCACAACCTGCAGCTTTGGGGATTTGAACACCTGGCATGATTAGATTCTGCTGTTGACCATGCAGATTTGGGGACATCTATAAGGAAGAACATTTATGTCATTTTATAGATTTGGGTATTCCTGGATACTATGGCTAAGGATACAGTGCAAGCCACGGAATTTTTCACTTAGTGCAACTTAATGCTGTAGAATTAAGGTGAAAAAAAAGTAACCCTTGTCCTTAGGTAACTAGACTTGGATACAGTGCAAACCACTGCTCATGTGGCTTTGTGGAGGCTCTGATTTCTGAGTAGAACATCATTCCATGGCCAGAGACAATTTTTTTGACAATCAGTAAGTACATTTTCTCGCAAGTGTGTTTATTATTCTTTAAAAAATATTATACAATTGGAAATAACAAATTTTATATAACTGATTTAAAGTGAATAGGAGGATTTATGTGAATAGAAGGCTAAGACATGCCTTAGCAGGGATTTCAGCATGAAATTTGCTGTCAGTTGTGAAAGTGAATGAGATGAGGAATTCCTGCAGGATTTTTTTTTTTTTTTTTTTGGTAAGAGAAATACAAGCTGGCTGATTTCAAACAAATGAAAAAAGAATGTTGTTGACTTTTGGACCTTGCAAATGGCCAAATGTCTTTTATTGTGAGAGATGACTTTGCCCTTTCAGTTAAGGAATTGGAAGAACATGTTAGATGAGTGACAGGAATTTAAGCAGGTGGCAAAGGAACCAGCTACTAGTTTCATAAAATGAGGTGTGGGGTTTTGTTAGAGTAGAGGTTTTGTAGGAGAAGCCTGTAGGCTGTAGATATCTCAAGTTCAGTCTCCTTTTTGTGAAAAAGAACCCATGTTCTAGAAATAACAGCCTGTGAAATCCCTTATTAGCAGGGCATGAACTAGAAGCTTGTTCTCTTAAGCCTTGGCTCAGTAACTGCCTATCCTGATTTAGGAGAACATACCCAGCTGTGTCAAGATACCCACAGGCTCCACCTGAATCAATTGGTGCAGCCTTCCTTTAGCATCTTCAGAGTGGGCAATGTGACCCCTATTAACTATATCCATGGAACAATCTTTTAAACCCTATCTTGAATGCTTGTCTCATGTCTGAGATCTTCTTTGATTAACTTGAACTTAATTTCTTTTTCTGAAATCACATTATATTTAGTCCACAATCAGGGTATCCAGGATGTACTGTGGAGTCAACACTTCCAGCAGCAGCAATCCTTATACAAAATAATGGATGAGGATCAGTGGTAGAACTTTAGGTTCATTCCCCAAAGAGCCACCAATTGCCAAAGTGATCACCTACTATCTTTTACAATGCACAGTTCACAATCTATTTTGCAGTGTACCTTTTCCCCCTACTCTCTCACTTTTTCCATGTTCTCCTCCCCTTTTGCTACTCGGGGACACTTCTATACTGTGTGCTTATTTTATAATGCCAGTAATTGTTTCAGAGTTTGCATTTAAGGGAACTCAAAGTTAGACACCAGATATTGAATTACCTAGAAGACCACACAGTGACCAACATAGAACTAATCTCATCTTAGTGACAAAAATTATACAGAGTCAATAAATAAGGATAAATGGAAAAATGCCCTATATTAAAATCTCTCTCTCTCTCTTTTTTTTTTTTTTTTTGGTCTCCCCTGAGGCTGTCGTATTGTACTGAGTTTTGTATTTATCAGTAAAATGGATGCATCAGAGTTGTTCACTCCCAATGTGATTTCATTGTAGCCCTATTGGTTCCCATCAGATCTCTTTCCCAGCTGATTCACCCATCCTCCAGTGGCTGTGAGTGGTATCCCAAGGTCTCTTTCTCTGGAAAATTGCCCTTGAACAGGTGGACCAGGAGGTCATATCAAACCTCTAGACAGCCAATGACACACACAGGCTCATCCCCTTGCCTAACAAGGAATCTGTGGGTGAAATTCATACTCCAGGGTTCCTTGGACCTCTAGACAGCCAATGACACACACAGGCTCATCCCCTTGCCTAACAAGGAATCTGTGGGTGAAATTCATACACCAGGGTTCCTTGTAGGATCAGATTGAGGCTAGGTACATATCATCAACTCACCCTATAGGGTTTATCTCCTTTCTCCGCCCTAATTGTTTTCTTTATTCCTCTTACCTTCACATATACCTGAAATTCTCATTTTAGGCTTAGTTTTTAGAAAACTTAATTAAGGACAACTCCTAATATTCCTTGTTCTTCCTTATTTTCCAGGACCTTTTCTCCAAAGACCCCTGAACAGCTTACTTTATTTCCCATACAGTGTGACATTCCTCTATTTAACAAATTTTGAAAATTTCACATGTGCAACAAGGTATGTAACCTGCTACCCATTATCATTTTCACCTCTCCCTATGAAATCTGTAAGAATGGTGCTTGGCATCTCTTTCAAGAAGCAGTCAAAGTGTAATCTCAGTTCAGTACATTGAATGAGGTGAACATGGAATTTCTCTAGGAAATTTTCTTGGGGGAAAAAAGCATGCCTCTTCTCTTTCAAGTCATAGAAAATTTACTGCAACATTATACCGGGCAATATTTAATATAGCTCAGCTAATAACTTATAGGATCCCACTCTGAGGTTGGAATATTTTAGCTACCCTGTTGCTTTTGCAATTGAAGGGAGCAGAACACAGAAAGATCAAAAACAACTTTTTCAATTCCCCAAGGCCTTGTTTAATGGAGTGTATACAATCAAATTTCAACAATCCAAGGGTAGATTATCCATGACAGTGCTTTTTAGACTTAAATGTTCACACAAATCACCAAGAGATCTTATTTAAATGACCTACCTCATTCAATAGGTCTTAAATGGTGCTTTAGAGTCTACATAAATGAAAGTCTCTCACGACATGGTAATGCTAATTGTCCACAGACTACATTTTAATTTTCAAGGTTTTATATTTTCTTTCACTCCTGTAGTATTTTTTTTTTTATTTCTATGACTATATAGAGAGATACCATTGGGAGTCTAACATGAGGTTCTTTATGACTATGCAGCCTAAGCTAAATTGTGTTCCTGGCCCTTGGTGATAAGCTCTGACTCTGAGGACATATAATGATGTTGCACATATTCTGAAATAGGAAAAAATGTTTACTTTTGCAAATTAATTTTCTAGATGGGATTAGGTTTAGGTGAGGTTTCACCTGGATACAAACACTTCCCTAGCATTCGAAAAGCTCAAGTTACTTTAAATGATAGCAAAAGGAGAATAAATATAGTCAATACCCAGATCATCAGCTGTCTGTTTTATAATAAAAAAAGTACTGATTGTATCCTATTTTACTTGATCTTTGAGGTTACCACTCTACAAAGGGAAATTCTATAATTAGTCACTACAGTGCTTCACCATGCTCCAGACTCTATCTTGAACTTGAAACAGTTGAATCAAAGCTTATTTTACAATATTTTTTGAATTTTAAGTCTAGGCTTGAAGCAATTTATTTCTTCTAGATAGCTAATCTGTGTCTCCAAGGTTTAACTGCCATTATGAGAAATGTGCCTCTTTAAGAAACCAGCCTCCTATTTAGTTATGTTTAAGGCAATGTAAACCACTTTTATACCTTTACAAGGGTCTTAATAAAATGAATATTTACAATGTTCATGAAGCCAAAATACCATATATGTAACTTATTGTTCCCTCAAGGGAGACTGAGCAACAAAACAAGATGAAATTTTAAGACTTTTTAATTTCCCCTCAGACCAATATTTTATATCTTTTGTATCTTGACTCTAAAATAATTTATGTGGTAGATGTCAGCAAAAATGGTGAAGTAAAGGCCTAAGGACCTCTGAAAATTCTCATCCCCATTAAAGTTGCAAGGACATTGGCAAAAATTTTTATAAGTCTGGAAATCAACATTTTCATAATTCTGGAAACTAACCAAATCTTGCAGTTTATATGGGAAATATTTATTCAGTAACAATGAATGGGTAAATCTCAGTAAAAATAGTAAGTTTTGTTCTTAGGCATGTTATCTTATTCCCATCTCACCAACTTTTAATTCTGTGATAATCTTGAAAACCTAGAACTCACAATCATAGTTAAATCAGCAGCTTGACAACAATGAGAAGAGAAACAGGGTTAAAGCTCTTTCAAATCTCATTATTTAACTTGTCTATTGGTTACCTTGAAGACCCCATCTACAAAGCTGTCTTTATTTGCCTTGACTTGGACTTCATCTGATACAAAAAGCATTTTACTCAGGAATGTTTGTCAAAACAATTGGAAATATACCTACTTTTGTGGCCATCTAAGGCAGTAGATAACAGTTGGAACAAACAATAGTCTAACCAAATTAAAAAATACCTTAGGATAAATGACAATGAGGATACAACCTTCCAGAGCTTTTGAGGCACAGGAAAAGCAGTATAAAGAGGAAAGTATGTAGTGATGCAAGCCTACATCAAGAAAGAGCTCAAATAAATAACCTTATCTCTCAACTCAAGGAACCAGAAGAAAGAAGAACAAACAAAAGCAAAGCCAATAGAAAAGAGGAAATAATACAAATTAGAGCAGAAATAAATGAAATAAAAATAAAAGTCTAAGAGATAAATGAAACCAAAAGCTGGGTCATTGAAAAAAATAAACAAACTTCTAGCTAGGCTCACAAAGAATAAGAGAGAGAAAAGTCAAATAAATAGGATCAGTGATGAAAAAGGAGAATTAGAACAGAAGTTGTGGAAATTCAGAGAATAATAAAGAGATTACTATACACATTTATATTCTTATAAATTCAGTAACCTAGGGGAGATGGACAAATTCTTAGAATGATACCATCTGAGATTGACTAAGGAAAGACAACCTGAATCATAAGTCAACCTTAATCATAACAATTGAGAAAGAGGGACATTCTGAACACATTTTAGGAGGCCACAATTACGTTAATACCAAAACCAGACAAAGATAACACATGAAAACGAAAACTATAGACCAGTTTCCCTCCCTAACAAACACAGATGCAAAATACCTCAAGAATATTTTAGCAGACTTAATCCAACAATTCATTAAAAGGATTATATACCATGACCAAGCTGGTTTTATACCCGGAGACACGAGGATGATTCAGCACCCCAAAATCAATTAATGTAAATCACCATGTCAATAAAAGGAAATAAAAAATCATATGCTCATATCAGTTGATGCTGAGAAAGTATCTGATAAGATTCAACATCAATTTATGTTGAAAATCCTCAAAACCTAGTGATAAATGGAACATGTCTTAAGATAATAACATAATAAGGGCCATACATTATAACTTTATAAACCCACACCTAACATCATTCTCAATGGTTAAAAACTGAAAGCTTCCCCTGTAAGATCTGGTATGTAATTTCAAAACTCTTAAAAAAGACATAAATGCAAATCTTCATGGTCCAAGGTTAGGCAATACTTTGTTAGATATCACTTAAAACACAAGTGACCAAAGAATGTATAGGTGAATTAGGTTTTATTGTAACAAGCTATAAAATAAGAAAGCAAAAAACTTGTGTACTTCATAGAACCTCATCAATAATTTGAAAAGACATTTCATGGAATAGAAGGAAATGTTGTTAAATATTATGTCTATTAATGGCCCAGTATCCAAAATATGTAGAAAACTCCAGCAACACTATGATAAAAAAAATCCAATATGGAAAAAAAAAACAATTTGGATAGATATTTCTTGAAGGAAAGTATGAAAATGACCAATAAGCATATGAGGAGATTTTTTAAATACTATTGGTGAATAGGGAAATGAAAATGAAAACCAGAATGAAATTTCATTTCACACTAAATATCATGGTGAAGATGTGGAAAAATTAGAACCATTGTACATTGCTCTGGGGATCAGAAATGGTATAGATACTGTAGAAAACAGCTTAGTAATTCTTCAAAGAGCTGAACATGCAATTACTGTATGACCCAACAATTCTGTTCTCTGGTATATATACAAGAGGCTGATAACATCTATTCACACACATAGTTGTATAAGAATGTTCATAACAGCTTGCTCATGATAACCAAAAGGCAGTAGAAAACCCAAATGTCCATCAGCTTATTAATGGATTAACAAATGTGATATTATCTAAACAGTGGAATATTATTTGGTCATGTAAAGGAATTAAGAACTGGTACATTTTACAACATGAATGAATCTTAAAAATATGCTGAAGTGAAAGAAACCAGACGCAAAAGGTGACATGCTGAATGATTCAGTTCATGTGAAATGTGCAGGATAGGAAAATTTGTTGAGACAAAGTAAATCAGTGGCCAGAAGCTGTGAGAAGGAAGAGAATGGAGAGTGACTGTTAATGAGTATAGGCTTTCTTTAAAGGGCGATGAAAATGTTCTGGAAATAAGGCAGTGATTGCATAGCCTTGTAAATATATTAGAAATGATTGATGTATTTTAAAATTACATATTTTTAAAGGATTATAACTTTGTTAAAATATGGAACTCAGGGTCCTTCCTGGTGGCGCAAGGGGTAAAGTATCAGCACTACGAAGCTATCCGCAGCTACTGCAGCACCAATTTGATTCCCAGCCAGGGAGGTGACCCACATAGCGCAGCAGACCTCAACTGTCTCTCCTGCTGCTCCCCTCAGCAGTGTATTTCAGTTACTCTGCTTGTTCTGCTCCCTATTTTGTCTCTGGTCAATAAAAATAAAATAAAATAAAATATGGAAATCATATCCTAATTAAAAAAATGTGTTTGTAGAAAGCGGACATACTAACCTTTACTGAAAATATAAAGAAAGTGGCAAATCCAACTGTAATTGATTTGGGATCATTTTTTACCTGTTCTGTTAATCTGATACCACTAATTGGCAGACAGTTGAAGTTCAGGGCAAAAGGTGCATCTTTATATTAGTGAGACTATTATTCTAAACCGGGTGCATAGAGAATTTGCATGTCCAAAGCTAAAAACTCATGAGGAAAAAACTAAACTGAGGAAATTACATGAGAGCAGGAACAATATGGCTTTGAATGAGCTTAGCAATGTAGCTTGTAGTCAAAAAGTTTGAGATAACAATAAAAGAGTTGAACAACATTACAGGAACTTTGGATTTTAATTTGAAAAAACCACATATTTATCCTCATTGTTACTTAAAAACCTGTGTAAGTTTTCTCTTCATAGGTGTATTGTCTCCATGTGATCAAGACTATATCATATTTTAGGACTTCTCAAACTATGATGGAATTTGTCACCTGGGGACCTTGTTAAAATGTTGATTTTGATTCAGTAGTTCTGGGTGGAGCCGAAGATTCTGCCTTTATAAAGCTGTCACAGATCATTATGCTAGTTGTCTACAAATCCATCACACTTTAGCAAG